GGCCGTGGGGGTAGGCTGCAGTGGAGCTGTGTGCTCTAACGTGGAAGTTTGCCTCACTGACACTGCTGCGGACCGGCTGTCTCTGGGCAAATCCCAACGACTGCTTCTTGCTCGGCTGCCAGGCTGGCAACCCTTCTCCTGATGATGCGGAAGCAATAGCCTTGATGACGACGAGGCTGCCAAAGTGCGATCAGACTCATCATCATCAATTAGGGTCTCCGCCTCATACTAGCCCCCTCGGCTGCGTGATGGGTCAGGAGACCAGGACCTGTCTCCCTCTAGACCGGCTACCGAGCCACTCTCCTCGCCAGTACTTCTTCGCCTGGCTGCTGAAGAGGCGGATGTCTCCCCCGTTCCTGACTGCCCTCTGTTAGCTCTTCCTTCACTGTACAGTGGGGCTGAGCCCACAGCATGCGATACTTCGCTTGGGTGAGGGAACAGCAAAGGACAGGGGGCAGGTAGAGGACACGTGATTTCAGTGGGCTTGCTCCTAACGGTTGTGTCTGACGTATACCCACCGACCGTTGGCTGTAGGTGTCAGAGGTGACCTGGGAAGAGGAAGATGACCGAGCCAACCAATCGATGACGGCAGGGTTGTCGGTGGAGACACGACCGCTGGATGACATCTGGGAGCACTGGCCTCTGGCTGCGACTAGTGCTGCCTCGACCCCTTCCTCTGCTGCCACGTCTGCTCGCTCCTAAAACAATTGCCTCCTCTGCCACTCCTCTGCATGTTGTCTGACATACTCTTTAATTCAATAAGCACCCCAAAAATAAAACCGGATTTAACTCTTTGAACGTACAATAGTGGTTTGTGAAGCAGAAAGTCAGTTTATTGTACACAATCGGTCAATTGCAGCTTGCCGTTGGCTGGAAAACTGTACGTTTATGTCCCTGGAATGCACTAATCACCCAAAAAATATTACCGCCAAAACCCGGCGTGTAAATGGATTTAACTCTTTGAAACGTACAATAGTGGTTGTGAAGCAGAAAGTCAGTTTATATTTTTGCACAATCGGCAAACTGCAGCACCAACTGTGCACGACAGCCACCAAAAAAAAAAAAGGGTGTATGTCACTTTAAATTTTCGATTCTTTGATAGCTGTGGCCCTAAGTAACGATTCTGTGTCCCTGAGTAAACGACTTCTGTGTCCCTGAGTAACGATTCTGTGTCCTGAGTAACGATTCTGTGTCCCTGAGTAACGATTCTGTGGCCCTAAAGTCTCTGTGGCCCTAACTCTGTCCCTTAATACACACAGGTCTGTCTCTCTTGAATGACCGGAGGCTAATGGAGAATTCTAAGATGGCCGCGATTTATAGCTCCACCATTAATCTCTATTTGACACCTGTGCATTAAAAGGTTTATTTAGCACATTGGCATTACATAGTTAGTCTGGCTGAAAAAAGACAAACGTCCATCCAGCTCAACCATTAAAAAAAACAAGTTCTAATCCTACACCAGGGGCGGACTGACAACTTATGGGGCCCCCGGGCAAAAGGGGATCATGGGGCCCCTGTGTCCTTGCCCACACTCAAAAGAGCCTATGAAAAAGGTACCAGGGGCATCTCATGGGGCCCCCTACTGACCCCCGGGCCCTCGGGCAGTGCCCAAGTTTCCAAATGGTCAGTCCGCCCCTGGGTATAGGTGCCCGGTAGGCGAGGGGTTAAATACATTACCATTGCAATTCATCGCCCACACTCAAATCATACCCAAAAAGCCTATGAAAGGTACCAGGAACATCTCATGGGGCCCCCTACGGACCCCTGGCCCTTGGGCAGTGCCCGAGTTCCCCAGAGGTCAGTCCACCCATGTCCTACAGCCACAGATGATCCAGAGGAAGGCAAAAACCCAGCAAAGGATGATCCAATCTGCTCCTGCAGGGGAAAACTCCTTCCTGATCCAATGATTTACAGTAACAATGGAAAGCATCAGCATGTGGGCGATGGATCCAGGTTTCGGGTTTAATGGTGGCTCCAAAGAGAGAAAAAAAATGGCAGCTGCTAAAGGTAACATAAGCAACGCACAACGGGAAAGGTAAGTGCAAAGTCCAGTACAAAGCTGCCGGCAATGCAGAGTGTAGGTAGGTGCCTGTACTGTGCTGTTATTACTGTTGGTGTGTTTCTTTAACCCCTTCAGTACCGGACACTTTCACCCCCCCCCCCCCCCCCCCCCCCGCCCCGCCCAGCCCAGGGCAATTCTGAGCTTTCACCGCCATCACACTGTGAATGAAAATTGCACAATCATGCAACACTGCACCCATATGACACTTTTACTATTTTATTCACCCAAATAGAGTTTTCTTTTGGTGGTATTTATTCACTACTGGGTTTTTTTTTATTTTTTTGCACTATAAATGAAAAAAGACAGAAGCATTTGAAAAAAAAATAAAAAAAAACACGTTTTTCTTTCTTTCTGTTATAAAATTTTGCAAATAAATAATCTTTCTACATAAATTTAGGCCATTTCTGTGGTGAAAATAACCCAAATAAGTGGAAATTATTCAGTCTGTAGGAAAGTTATAGATTCCACAAACTACGGGAGATACGGGAAATCAATCGATCTCGATGTACTGACTGTACTCTCATTTCATGAAGGACGAAAACGCCAGGGTGATACAAATATCCCCCAAATATCAGGACAGTACAAATATCCCCCAAATATCAGGACAGTACAAATACCCCCCAAATGTCAGGATGGTACAAATCCCCCCAAATGTCAGGATGGTACAAATCCCCCCAAATGTCAGGACAGGACAAATCCCCCCAAATGTCAGGACGGTACAAATCCCCCCAAATGTCAGGACAGTACAAATACCCCCAAATGTCAGGACAATACATATACCCCCCAAATGTCAGGATGGTACAAATCCCCCCAAATGTCATAATGGTACAAATCCCCCCAAATGTCAGGACAGTACAAATTCCCCCCAAATGTCAGGAGAGTACAAATCCCCCCAAATGTCAGGACGGTACAAATCCCCCCAAATGTCAGGACGGTACAAATCCCCCCAAATGTCAGGACAGTACAAATCCCCCCCAATATCAGGACAGTACAAATTCCCCCAAATGTCAGGAGAGTACAAATCCCCCCCAAATGTCAGGACGGTACAAATCCCCAACAAATGTCAGGACGGTACAAATCCCCCCAAGTGTCGGGACGGTACAAATCCCCCCAAATGTCAGGGCAGTACAGATCCCCCCAAATGTCAGGGCAGTACAGATCCCCCCAAATGTCAGGATGGTACAAATCCCCCCCAAATGTCAGGACTGTACAAATCCCCCAAATGTCAGGACAGTGCAAATCCCCCCCAAAATCAGGACAGTGCAAATCCCCCCCAAATGTCAGGACAGTACAAATCCCCCCCAAATGTCAGGACAGTGCAAATCCCCCCCAAATGTCAAGACATTACAAATCCCCCCAAATGTCAGGACATTACAAATCCCCCCAAATGTCAGGACATTACAAATCCCCCCAAATGTTTCATTAATAAGTACATTGTAGATATATTATCACTGATTGGACTGGGAGTTCTCAGAGAAGAGGGACAGACAGACCTGCAGGAACAAGAGTGGCCACTAAAAGATGCCACCGCTATATTGGTGCATCTCTTCCCCGTCTCATCTCTTCCCGTCTCATCTCTTCCCTGTCTCATCTCTTCCCCGTCTCCTCTCTTCCCCGTCTCCTCTCTTCCCCGTCTCGTCTCTTCCCCGTCTCGTCTCTTCCCCGTCTCGTCTCTTCCCGTCTCGTCTCTTCCCCGTCTCGTCTCTTCCCGTCTCTCTTCTCGTTCTCTTCCCCGTCTCATCTCTTCCCCGTCTCATCTCTTCCCCGTCTCTCTTCCCCGTCTCATCTCTTCCCCGTCTCATCTCTTCCCCCGTCTCGTCTTGTCTCTTCCCCGTCCGTCTCTTCCCGTCTCGTCTCTTCCCCGTCTCGTCTCTTCCCCGTCTCGTCTCTTCCCCGTCTCATCTCTTCCCCGTCTCATCTCTTCCCCGTCTCATCTCTTCCCGTCTCGATCTCTTCCCCGTCTCGTCTCTTCCCGTCTCGTCTCTTCCCCATCTCATCTCTTCCCCGTCTCATCTCTTCCCCGTCTCATCTCTTCCCGTCTCATCTCTTCCCCGTCTCATCTCTTCCCATTTCGTCTATTCCCGTCTCGTCTCTTCCCCGTCTCGTCTCTTTCCCCGTCTCGTCTCTTTCCTCTTCCCGTCTCGTCTCTTCCCTTCTCATCTCTTCCCCGTCTCATCTCTTCCCGTCTCTCTCATCTCTTCCCCGTCTCTCCTTCTCTTCCCCGTCTCGTCTCTTCTTCCCGTCTCGTCTCTTCCCGTCTCGTCTCTTCCCCGTCTCGTCTCTCGTCTCGTCTTCCTTCCCGTCTCGTCTCTTCCCCGTCTCATCTCTTCCCCGTCTCATCTCTTCCCCGTCTCATCTCTTCCCCATCTCATCTCTTCCCCGTCTCATCTCTTCCCCGTCTCATCTCTTCCCCTTCTCATCTCTTCCCCGTCTCATCTCTTCCCCGTCTCTTCTCTTCCCCGTCTCATCTCTTCCCATTTCGTCTATTCCCTTCTTGTCTCTTCCCCGTCTCGTCTCTTCCCCGTCTCGTCTCTTCCCCATCTCATCTCTCCCCGTCTCATCTTTTCTTCTCGTCTCTCCCCTCTCTTCTTCTTTCATTTCTCTTCGTCTCATCTTCTCCGTCTCTTCTCTTTCCTCGTCTCTCTCTTCTCTCATCTCTTCCCCGTCTCATCTCTTCATCTCTCTCTCTTCCCTTCGTCTCTCTCTTCTTCGTCTCATCTTTCCCCGTCTCATCTCTTCGTCTCATCTCTTCCCCGTCTCATCTCTTCCCCGTCTCTGTCTCTTCCCCGTCTCATCTCTCTTCTCCCCTGTCTCATCTCTTCCCATTTTGTCTCTTCCCCGTCTGTCTCTCTTCCTTCTGTCTCGTCTCTTCGTCTCGTCTCTTCTTCTCTCGTCTCTTCCCCGTCTCATCTCTTCCCCGTCTTCTTTTCCCGTCTCGTCTCTTCCCCGTCTCATCTCTTCCCCTCTCATCTCTTCCCTTCTCATCTCCCGTCTCATCTCTTCTTCTTCCCCTCTCCCCGTCTCTTCCCTCTCGTCTCTCTTCCCCATCTCATCTCTTCCTCTCTCTTCTTCTTCCCCGTCTCAATCTCTTCTCCTTCGTCTATTCTTCTCCTTCTCGTCTTTTCTTCCCCGTCTCATCTCTTCCTTCTCATCTCTTCCTCATTCTTCTTCCCCGTCTTGTCTCTTCCCCGTCTCGTCTTTTCTCCCGTCTCGTCTCTTCCCCATCTCATCTTCTTCCCCGTCTCATCTTTTCCCGTCTCGTCTCTTCCACGTCTCCATCTCATCTCTTCCCCTCTCTTCTTTTCTCTCTCGTCTCTTCCCGTCTCATCTCTTCTCTCTCATCTCTTCCTCATCTCATTTCTTTCTTTTCTTCCTTCTCTTCCCGTCTCTCTTTTCCCCGTCTCATCTCTTCCCCTCGTCTCATCTCTTCCCCGTCTCTTTCTCTTCCCCATCTCATCTCTTCCTGTCTCATCTCTTCCCATTTCTTCATTCCCCTTCTTGTCTCTCATTTCCCTCGTCATCTCTTCCCCGTCTCGTCTCTTCCCCATCTCATCTCTTCCCCGTCTCGTCTCTTCCCCATCTCATCTTTTCCCGTCTCGTCTCTTCCCCTTCTCATCTCTTCCATTCTTCTCCTTCTTTTCCCGTCTCGTCTCTTCCTTCTCTCATCTCTTCCCGTCTCATCTTTTCCCGTCTCGTCTCTTCCCATCATCTCTTCCCTCGTCTCTTCTTCTCTTCCCCGTCTCATCTCTTCCCGTCTCTTCTCTTCTCCGTCTCGTCTCTTCCCCGTCTCGTCTCTTCCCCATCTCATCTCTTCCCCGTCTCATCTTTTCCCGTCTCGTCTCTTCCCCGTCTCATCTCTTCCCGTCTCATCTTTTCCCGTCTCGTCTCTTCCCATCTCATCTCTTCCCCCGTCTCATCTCTTCCCGTCTCATCTCTTCCCCGTCTCATCTCTTCCCGTCTCATCTCTTCCCCGTCTCATCTCTTCCCGTCTCATCTCTTCCCCGTCTCGTCTCTTCCCCGTCTCGTCTCTTCCCCATCTCATCTCTTCCCGTCTTTCTCATCTTTTCCCGTCTCTCGTCTCTTCCCTTCTCATCTCTTCCCTTCATCTCATCTTTTCCCGTCTCGTCTCTTCCCTTCTCTCTTCTCTTCCCCGTCATCTCTCTCTTCCCCGTCTCATCTCTTTCCCCGTCTCATCTCTTTCCCCGTCTCATCTCTTCCCCGTCTCATCTCTTCCCGTCGTCTCATCTCTTCCCCGTCTCATCTCTTCCCGTCTCATCTCTTCCCTCGTCTCATCTCTTCCCCGTCTCATCTCTTCCCATTCTCTCATCTCTTCCCCGTCTCGTCTCTTCCCCGTCTCGTCTCTTCCCCGTCTCGTCTCTTCCCCGTCTCGTCTCTTCGTCTCGTCTCTTCCCGTCTCGTCTCTTCCCGTTCATCTCTTCGTCTCATCTCTTCCCCTTCTCATCTCTTCCCGTCTCATCTCTTCCCGTCTCATCTCTTCCCCGTCTCATCTCTTCCCCGTCTCATCTCTTCCCCGTCTCATCTCTTCCCCGTCTCATCATCTCTTCCCTTCTCATCTCTTCCCCGTCTCATCTCTTCCCCGTCTCATCTCTTTTCCCCGTCTCATCTCTTCCCCGTCTCTTCTTTTCCCGTCTCGTCTCTTCCCCTCTCATCTCTTCCCCGTCTCATCTCTTCCCGTCTCGTCTCTTCTCTTCTCATCTCTTCTCATCTCATCTTCCCGTCATCTCTTCCCCATCTCATCTCTTCCCCATCTCATCTCTTCCCCGTCTCATCTCTTCCCCGTCTCATCTCTTCCCCGTCTCATCTCTTCGTCCGTCTCATCTTTTCCTCTCTCATCTCTTCCCGTCTCATCTCTTC